TTTATGATTGGAATTAATTTTAGTAAAACAAATATGGCAGCAACAAATTAAATAGGATGTTCTAACTTGCTGAGAAAAACATGTGGAACGAGAAGTTATATTTTATGAAGAAACATGTTGAGTTGAGATGTTTCATCAACTAAAGCAACATGTCAGAAAAGATGTCATATGCAGAGTCATTTGACATCATGACTATGTTGGGCTAGACAGTTGGACTGGTTTAAGTTTTAATATATGCAGAATATTCTGGGAATATTATGCTATCCTATGTGGCGCTGATTTTAAGGTCTGGAAGATTCAAGTTGAATTCAAGAAGAATACTTACTTTATAATTTTTGAGACATTTTAAGAAAGTTATAATTGAATACCTATTTTTATACAGAAGTTTCTGAATAATTATAACAGTTGATCTGCTACGTTTTGAAGCTCAAATCCAGTCCATAGAAAAGTTATAAATAGAAGATTATTAACCTGAAGGATGTACGAGCCACGGATGTAAAAGTGTCACTTATTATGCCTTTGTCTGTTTATTGTTGTGAGTCACTCTTGTATTATTTAATACTTAAATTGGACTATTAGTTGAGTTATAATTGTGAATCACCCATAAGCTTTGAAGCAAGAGTGAATTTTGTTTGTTGAAGAGTGTCTTCTTTTTTATTGTCAATGACTTTTAATCTTCTAAGTATAGAGTGATTGTGTGTTTGTGAAGTTTGTCCTCTAACCCGTTTGAATTGTGTTCTTGTCACTGTTTGTGACTGTCATAGAAGTGATAGGGGCCTCATACATAGGTGAGTCTTAGGTAGAAATATAGCACGGGTAGTGATTAAGTGAGAAGTTGTAAACGGGAGAGTTTAGCTTTGAATTGATATATTTAGTGGATTTCCTTCCCGACTTGGTATCCCCCATAGTAGGTGTTGTTGTACACCAAATTAGGGTTAACAATTCTGTGTGTTATTTACTTACTGCACTGTTAATTGTGTTATATTTGTTCATTGTGTTGAATTCAGATTACAGTGTCTCAACATCTCTAAGGACATATGTAATATGAATACCAGAATTTCATTAAGTGTGCTTGACTTAGAGTAGTATTTGGATGGGTGACCTTCTAGGAAGTTTTCCGGAAAGCGTGTGAGTGAGGATAAAGCATGTTGAAAAGATGTGTGTTAGTTTGGTGGGTTCATTCGGTAATCTTAAAAGCAATCTAGGGCATTTCAAATGGTTTCAGAGCAGATATCTCCTAGTATAATATGGTTCGGGGACGAACCAAACAGAAGCTGATGGGCATGTAATAGTCGACACCAACGAGGGCGGGGAGTGTTTTTCGGTGCATGAGGCATGATAATGAGAGGCTTTTGGAAGCTTCTAAGAAAAAACTGATTTCACATCGAAATGGGAAGGATCATGAGGCGATGCATGTATGAAATTGCATTGTTGAAGGAAGACTTATAAGAATTGACTGATACTACCTATACCAAGAAGATGCATCTTTTTTCGGTAGTCTAACAAATAAGAAATCCATAGTTAAGTATGCTTTACTTGAAGTAATATTTTGATGGGCGACCTTCTGAGAAGTTTCATGGAAAGCGTGTGAGTAAGGACAAAGCATGATGAAAAGATCTGTGTTGGTTTGTGGAGTCAATCGGTAATCCTGAAAGCAGTCTAGGGCGTTACATCATAGACCCCGCCCGACCCCGAACTTGGAAATGCAAACACGAATTTGAGGGTGTGCCTCGACAGGATTCCCCAGATGTTCGAGGTTGATGCCCCTGATCGACCAAGGCGTCCCTAGATAGATCTTGAACCGAGGTGCCATCGCGTCGTTCCGAGATGGCTCGGAATCCACGTAACCATTTACTCTGTGTTGTATTGGAGTTTGATGGATCCAACGTCAAATATTTGAGATTTCGGTTTCATGGAACTTCTATTTCTTCTCTAAAAATCTCGTCATGAGAATCGAACGTGAAATCAAGGAAATCATAGGAATCAGAAGTCGATTCTCACAGACAACGCTATTGTTCTGTTACAGAACCAGAAATGATGATGATTGCAGAAACTACAGTGGAACAGAGCTTTCGATGCACTTCACGAATGTCACACCGTGGATCGAAGGATGTGATCACATTTCTTCTTGAACCAGAGGTATCGGTGCTGATACAATGTTGATAACCGATGTTGCTATGTTCAATACAATGGATCTAGGGAGGATACCTGAACGGTTAGAACTCCAATGCCCGAGTCAGTTTTGGATTCAAGATATGTGATATTGAAAATAAAGATTAGAGATTGTGTACCTTAGAACTCTTTACGAAGATATTTATACATTGGGCCTGGCATAATAGGTTACATCATGGACCCCGGCCGACCCCAGACTTGCGAATCCAAACCCAGATCTGAGGGTGTGCCCCGACCGACTTCCCCTAGCGTTTGAGGTTGATGCCCTCGGTCGATCAGGGAATCCCCGGATGGAATATTGAATCGAGGCTTCCATCAATGTTGTTCGGATGGCTCAGAATCCATGTAACCATTAGCTTGGCGTTGAATTGAAGTTCGATGGATCCAACGCCGCATATATGAGATTTTGGTTTCGTGGAACTTTCATTTCTTCTCTAGAATTCTCATTGGAGCTCATATCTGAGAATCGAAAGTGAAATTGAGAAAATCATAGGAATTGAAAGTCAATTTCCACATACGATGCTATTGTTCTGCTGTTGAACCAGAAATGTTGATGATTGTGGAATCTACGGTGGAACGGAGCTTCTGATACACTTCACATATGTGATATTGTAGATTGAAAGTTATGATCATAGTGCTTCTTGAACCAGAGGTATCGGTGTTGATACAACACTGACGATCAATGTTGTTATCTCCGATACGGTGGACCTAATGGGGGATACATGTATGGTTAGCACTCCAACGTCTAAGTCAATTTAGTGCTCAAGATAGGTGATAGTGAAAATGGAGATTAGAGATTGTGTACCCTAGAACCTTTTACAGATATATTTATACTTTGGGTATGACAGAGTAGGCTAGATAATGGATCTCGTGTTATTGGGCCTTTGGTCGGTACGGAGCAATGGGTCTCGAATCCTTGGCCAGCATGGAGCACAGGGACTCGGGTCTTTGGCCTGCACGGAACACCCTCTTTCAGGAAAAGCTTGTCGTCACCAAAAGAATATTTAAGGGCTTCTTGTTTAAAATGATCCCACGACCAATACTTTCTAACTTTCTCACGACATAGAGAGGTGGAAGAGGGAGAGGCAAGAACATCTCGATCAACTTTACAAAAATCAAGTGGGTCTACATACTCAGGGGAATTACTAGAATATAGTAGTCCTTGAACCTTTTCCAACTATCAATGTACACATCGAACATCTTGTTCGACTAAAGAATTGAAACGATCCTCTGACTACAAAATGGGTCCTGTGAGGTTTGAGACATAAGGGATAGATTGAAAAAGATCTGAACTGATGGCTCCTCCTGTCGATACTCACACTAATGCTAGAACACCATTATAAAGGCCCAAGGAGACCAGTGAGGTTGTGAAGGAGATATAGTAAAACGATCCAGCAAACTCTCCTCGAATGGCCTAAACTTCAATCCGATGAAGAGACACTCATAAAAGAGAACATCACACCCATCATAACGGCTCCAAATCTATTTACCCTAACCTATATGAAAAACGACCCAATCAAAGAAACGACCTACATCTATTCGATCGAATATCAACCATCTTCTTCAAATGACCATATACGCTGACGGTCCCCACTATCTCAGGGTTGATCCTAGGACAGAGTCCCGAATCCGGGGTCAGAACTAAAGCATGTCTTTCCCATTTAACCATTTCGTACCAGCTATCACATGATAGATAGCAGCGATTAGGAGTAGGATTATTATTCCTTCCTCGATAGGTTCCCAGTCGCTAGCAGCAACGAAAGTTTAAAAAAACGACCAACTCATGCTTCATTTTGAGAAACAGTGACCACCTTCTTTTCTTCGTGATAACAAATGTAAAAGTCACTAAGGACGATCAAATTAAGAATGTGACCATTGACTTCCAGAGGATCACCATCAGAAATGTGACCATTGACTTCCAGATGCTTCTGAGACTCCTCATCAGGAATGTCGAAATTTCCATAAACAGCCAATATGAAAGAATCGCCCCACCATCTTCATTCACGTTCAAAGGATCACATGTGATTGCATCATTGCATTATGATTTAGAGTTGGATTACTTCAACATCTTGAAGAAAAAGGAGTGTCGAACACTACTATACTATTTTACATTAAATGTCACAACTGATGCATTGTTAATATAACTCATGAGGATAATCAATTCACCTTCACTATAGATGAATGTAGAGCCATCTTTGAAAGTGTACAAAACGAACTATCACACAAGGATCTCAAAATTTTTACGTATAAGACCTCATAAATGTGGAACCATGACTAATCTACACAGAAATTCCAAAAATTTAAAATTGATACGGCCCTGCTATAAAGCATACTATCATATATGTGAGTTACACTTCATTTATTCTGTCTGCTTCACATCAAGGCATCAAGGCAGCAGAAACTAAACTCATGTCTAATATCATCATTTGTATATTAGCAAGTATATTTTTTTTAGTCAAATTTGTTGTTAGTATTGTTTTCTTGATTGTAGTCATCCTCATTACTATTTTTTGTTGTTAGTCAAATTAGGAATTAAATTTCATCAACACCAAAAGTAAACAAAATAGTAGTTGAACTAGTTCTTGTTTGTAACATGTACTAGTGCTTAAAAACATGAAATAGTAGATTGAACATCAAATCAAATAGTAAAGAAGATTTGGTAGGTACAAAATATTTTTCCATCCCTTTCTATATTCAACTTAGCTTCCCTCCTTAGAGTTGATTCTGCACAACATAGATAAATAAAATTATTTGACACAAAAAGAATAGTAGGTAAATATATTTACTTGAATGAATCCTACCTTGAGATATTAGACAAATTCAACTGTCTATGTTTCAAAAGAATCTCTAAAAATGTGAACAAGGAAGGTAAGTGGAGTGCTAGTAGGGAAGAGCTCAAAGGTGCAAACATCACCAACTTTCAAGTTGTTGTCTTTTGTAAATGTTCTCCATCCTTTTGAAATCACTTCAAATCTTTCTTTATTTATAAAGACTTTCCTAGTTAGGTACTTTGCAGGCCAAACTCTCCCATCCAGTAACCTAAGATGAATATCTCCATTGTTTGCGTCCAAATCTATCAAATATTTTCTACCAAACTCCTTTGGTATATACTGTCAAGCAAAAGAAGAAACCAATGTTCACAACTATCATATAGTTAAAAAATGAACCAAATCTTTCTTTGCATGCAGCTTACCAGTTTGGATGCAGAATCAATGTATGATGGACGCATGATAATATGAAAGGATGGATTACAAGCTTTGAAAGAGATTGCTCTCTCAAGGGCTGTAGGTTTCTCAGCAATAACCAATTCCTTACCTGTAAAATTAAAACATCCTTTAAAAATTTTAAATGCATGCCATGGTTTTAATAAGATCGCAGTCGTGTAAAGGCTTTCACGATTTCGGTTAATACCAGTGATAATCGTATCAATATCGGCACTTGTGAAAACCGTTTTGTCAGAGCCATTTTTTAAAACCCTATTGCATGCAAACTCAAAATGAAAGGTTAATTTCAGCATTAACTTATATGCTAGTGTTAACATGAGAGTATGAGATGCATGCATGCCATGAAAAAACATGTGAAGCTTTCTGATAACAAGTTACCTGTTTTTCTACTTTCAATATTTTCCAAATCTTCATCATTGGGGACACTTTGAGCATCAACTTTTTTGAAAGGGTAGTTTATCTCTAAGGTAGTCTTATCAAAGATGTGTACCTTAAAATGGGAGATTTGTTCATATTTGAAAACTAGAAGATGACCATGAGATAGAGAATGATACTCTACAAATTCATTCCAACCCTTGTCAAACCATATTTTGCCTTCACTTTTCACTAAATTTAAATTCCATTTTTCACCATTTGGAGTCTCTAGATAAATAACTTCTGGTAAATTTTCTCCATATTTCTCCACAAACTTTGTAGGCATCATCTGTCAACACAATGTAAGATAATGTTATAGAAAGATACAAACACAAATAAAGAATCAAACTCAAAGAAGGTGGAAGCTTACAAGCTTTTGTTGATGAAGGTTTTGATCACATATGATCTTGAAAAACTGGATAGGATTCACCTGAGAAAACTCATTAGCCATGATTGAGTTGAATAAAAGTAGACAAGCTTAGCGAGAGAATGCTGCAAAGGAGTTACATTAAGATAACAATGGAGCTAAACACTGAATGATATTTATTAGGGAAAAGAGGAACTCTCTTTGTGGTTGTTGAGACTTGGACTTGAGACACTTTGGAGTAACGTGGCAATGCTCAATGTGTATGTGTCGCTTCTACCTACTTCTACCATAATTATACCTATGTTCCTAATTAGTATGATTGAAAAGTTATTTTTATTTTCTTTATTCATTATTTTAATTAAATGAAAATTATTTTATTTAATATTTATAGTTATAATAGATAAAAAATATATATTAATAAAATTTTTGTAAGTGTACAATTTTTACCAGTATAATGAATCACATTTACCCAAAACATCCTAACAAAGATTACAATCCATTAGTATGAGTATTGCACGTGTTGTCAGGAATCAGGATGTCTCTAGCATCAAATCATGTCTGTTGTTACTCCTACTATCCTTAATAAAGATGGCACTCCTCAATTCAAGCATGCAAGACGGAAGAGAGTTGAAAGGGAGAATATAAGATGTAATAACAATAAGACTAATGTTATTTCTACATCAAAATTTATACTCAAACTTGTTTACCGTATTTATATTTATATGATGCACAGTGTTTTTTTAATAAAATATTTATAAGTAGCAAAATATTATTATAATAGTAATTTATTTATTTTTAAATTTATTTAATTTTTAATAGTAAAATAGAGTTAATTAATAAAATATAAAAAATTAATTAATAAAATGATGAAGTTGATTAATATATGTTTAAATATTAAAAATGATTTAATAATAAAATAAAATTGATTAATATAAAATAAAAAATTAATTAATAAAACATTGAAATTGATTAATAAACGTTCAGATATTAAAAATAATTTTAATAGTAAAATAAAATTGATAATAAAATATAAAATATTAGTTAATGAAATTATAAAATTAATTAATAAACATTCAGATATTAAAAATAATTTTTAATAATAAAATAAAATTGGTTAATAAAATTTAAAATTTTAGTTAATAAAATTATGAAATTAATAATTACATAATTTTATATCAATATATTTAATAAAAAAATTTAAAAACAATTTAAAAATTTATTTATTATTACAATAATATTTTATAGTACATATTACTTTTCATAAATATATTTTTATTTAATAAACATTATTTATCATATAAATAGTTTTTGATGTAAATACTGATGTAGGATTTAGATGTCCCAATAACATTACTCAAACAATAAGCCAATGAGGAAAAAGACCCAAGAGATTATGAAGGTTGTAGCATGGAAGAAAAAAATATAAAAAGATGTGAAAACTGTTAGTTGGTTAACTCTTGTTAGTTGGTATTTGGGTTTTAGCTTGTATTTGGATCTGAGCATGTTGCCTATATAAAGGGCTATTATTTTATAATCCACACAACTGCAGTAACAATAATAACAGTTTCAGTTTAAGAGTTAGTTACACTGACTAACTCAACAATCTCTCTCTCTCTCTTCTTCTCTCTTCTTCTTTTTCTTCTTCTTCTTCTTCTTGTTTTTCACAATATTTATCTTTCTTGAATCCTTTGTTCCAACAAATTGATATCAAGAGTTTGTTTGTGATTCAGAGAGAATCTAATGGCAAACGGATCAACAACCTCAACACAATTTCCAACAAATCTTTCGGGTTTCAAAGGTGAAAACTATGAAAGATGGGTGGTACAAATGAAGGTTATTTTCATATTTCAAGATGTTGTAGAAATCGTGAATGATGGAATGTCACAACTGGAGGAAGATGCTACGGAAGCCCAGAAAGTTGCGCACAAAGATCAGAGGAAGAAAGATGGCAAGGCGCTGCTCTTGATTCATCAGTGTGTGGATTGTGATGTGTTTGAGAAGATAATCGAAGAAGAAACGGCAAAAGGAGTTTGGGAAAAGCTGAAGTCTTTGTATGGTGGAGATGAGAAACTGAAGAAGGTGAAGTTGCAGACTCTGAGAAAACAGTGTGAGATGCTGCAAATGAAAGAGGATGAATCTGTTTCAGCATATTTCTCAAGAGTGGTGATGCTAACAAACCAGATGAAGGCGTGTGGTGAAGCGCTAACGGATCTGCAGAAGATAGAAAAGGTATTAAGATCTCTAATTGCAGATTTTGATTACTTTGTTGTAACAATCGAAGAGGCCAAGAATCTATCTGAGATGAAATTGGAAGAACTTCAAGCTTCTTTGGAGGCTCGTGAAATGAGGCTGCAGCAAAGAAAAGAAACTCAGAAAGGGAGAAGACAGCTGAACAAGCATTGCAATCAAGATTCAGCAAGAAAGCTGGAAAAGAGAAATTGAAGCAGTGTAAGAATCTTGCTGGTGATGAGAAGTCAAGCACGAATACTGATTTGAAAGGAGTGAGCAACAAGTATTCTGGGAAGAAAGTTGACACGAAAGGGGTGCAATGTTACAATTGTCAAGGTTTTGGCCACTATGCTAGAGATTGTCGAAGCAAGAAAGCTGCAAGGTCGAAAGATAGTGATGAAGCTCAATATGCACGAGCTGGAAGTAGTGATTCTTATTATGTGTTGTTGCTGGTGAACACTCAATCGAACACTGAAAAAACAACATGTAGTATCTGGATTTAGGATGTAGCAACCACATGACTGGCAATAAAACTGGTTTACCAAGTTAGATGAGTCAGTTGAAAAGGTGATAAAGTTTGCAGATGGCAGGCATATCAAATCAGGTGGTAAATGAGACATTTCGATTATCATGAAGGATGGTCGAAAGGCTACTATCAATGAGTTCTGTATGTACCTTCAATGACAAGTAACTTGATAAGTGTAGGTCAATTATTTGCAAAAGGCTTCAATATGAAGTTGGAGAATAATCAAATGAAGGTATGTAGGGCTGATGGGAGGCTAATCATGAAAGCACCATTGGCAGAGAACAAAACCTTCAAAGTCGAACTCAACACATCAGATGACAAATGTTTTGCTTCAACTGCAGAAGAAGACAAGAACTGGCTATGGCATCACAGGTATGGACATCTAAACTTCAAAAGTTTATGTATGCTCAATTAGAAGAAAATGGTGCTTAGGTTGCCGTATGTGAAGGAATCAAAGCAGATATGTGAAGAATGTTGCAAAGCTAAGCATGCAAGGAAGGCATTCAAACATGATTTTCCTATAAGGTCATGGCTAAAACTGGAGTTGGTTCATTCAAATGTGTGTGAACCTTTTGAAGTAAATAATAAATGGAGGTAATAAGTATTTCCTTACTTTCATTGATGAATTCACCAGACATATGTGGATTTACCTCATTGAAAGGAAGAATGAGGTATTCACACAGTTCAAGAAGTTTAAGTTGCATGCTGAGAAACAAAGTGGCTGCAAATTGAAAAAGTTAAGAACTGATGGTGGTGGTGAATATACTTCAGCAGAATTTGCCAGATTTTACAATGAGAAAGGTGTAGAGCATGAGGTTGTTGTACCCTATACGCCTCAGTATAATGGCATCGCTGAGAGAAAGAATAGAAGTGTACTGAAGATGACCAGATGTATGTTGAAAGCTAAGAATATGCCTAAGAGATTTTGGACTGAAGCAGCTTCGACAGCAGTATACATTCTAAATAGATGCCCAACGAAGAAGATGGTCAAAAAGACACCACATCAGGCTTGGACAGGGTCAAAGCCAAATGTAAGTCATCTTAAAATTTTTGAATCAATGTGTTTCAGGCATGTACCTGAACAATTGAGAAAGAAGCTGGATGATCAAAGTGAAGTCATGATGCTCATAGGTTATCATTCGACTGGTGCATACAAGTTGTATTCACCAATCAAAGATAAACTAGTGATCATTAGAGATGTTCTTGTAGACGAAAGCAAAGGATGGGATTGGAGTCAAAGTGCAGTTCGACAAGAATCGGACACAGCCACAACTGTGTTCGAAGAAGGTGAAGCTTCGACAAGTCAAAATGAACAAGGTGATACTTTGATTGATCGAAATGAAGAACCGCGTGTGCATAATGAAAGAAGATCCACAAGAACAAGAATTGAGTCAACTAGGCTGACTGGATATGAGAGGTTTCTAGATCAAGCAATAGATGCTGATGGTAACTTAATCGAAGAAGCCATGATGATGGCTAAAGCAGAACCAATTAACTTGGGTGAAGCCTTGAGCAATTCGAATTGGTGTGAAGCCATGAAAGAAGAACTTAGAGCCATTGAGAAGAACAATACTTGGGAGCTTGTCGAAAGAACCAACAAGAAACCAATTGATGTGAAATGGATCTACAAGGTGAAACAAAGGCCAGATGGTGAGATTGCAAAGTACAAGGCAAGACTGGTGGCCATAGGTTTTCTATAACAACCAGGTATTGACTTCGATGAAGTGTATGCGCCTGTTGCTAGGATTGAAACAATCAGGATTATTGTTTTGATAGTTACATATAGAGGATGGAAAATGCACCAACTTGATGTGAAGTCATTGTTTTTAAATAGGCCTCTGAAAGAAGAAGTTTATGCCACTTAACCACCAGGCTTTGACGTCAAAGGGCAGGAGTCGAAGGTTTACAGATTGAGGAAGGCTCTCTATGGCTTGAAGCAAGCTCCTAGATCTTGGAATAAAAGGATAGATAGCTTCCTAATCGAAGCAGGGTTCACAAAGTGTGTCTCTGAACATAGAGTGTATGTAAATGATGTCGAAAGAGCCAATCAAATCATTTTATGCCTTTATGTTGATGACTTACTCATTACAGGAGTAGATGAAGCTGAGATAATGAAGGTAAAATCAAAGTTAATGCAAGAATTCGAAATGTCTGATTTACGGAATCTTTCTTACTTTCTGAGAATGGAATTCAAAGACATCGAAGGAGGAGTTTTCTTGCATCAAATGAAGTACGCTCAAGATATATTGAAGAGATTCAATATGAGCAACTGTAGGGCAGTTGTTACTCCATTAGAGACTGGAGCAAAGCTGAAGAAGGAATCGAATGA